TACCTTCCCCTGATAATCTAACAATAACCCAAATTGAATAACAATTGCATGATCAGTTGCAAAGGCTAAATAGGCCCTGATCTGTGTGTGCCCAAAGGCGCCTTCTAGAGTTGTTTTCTTGACATATTTGCAGAGCCTCTCAAATGGAGTTACCATAATAATAAAACCTGGTCCTCCATTCCCATCATGCATCACATTTCCTGCTGATTGTACAAGCCTCTCTCTTAATTCAAATTGCATTGCATATAGGCTGCATTTAAGCAAATATCATGATCCACCATTCTATTCCCATCAATATACTGCAAAGGAAAAACTGGCAAACCATCAGGAAAACACAAAAGGCTTTTCAAAACGTATCCACCCTCTGCAGGAGGTCTGGGAGGTGAAGATGCCTCAATTTTAAAAAACTTTACACTTGAACGCTCTTGCCAACCTTCCCAAATACTGAAAAAGCTTTACCACAAATCCGTCAAAAGTCAAAAAATTCAAATTTGTTTGTTGTTTGAGGACCTCTTTAATGTCATTTGTACCAATTCTAATATAAACCTGATTAAATTTAAAATTATCATTCAGCTTGAGGTCAGAGTGAACCATTTTTTGAAGCTCCTCCAGTGTAAAGGCTTGTCCATACTTGAAAGACAGTCCACTGATGGAGTACTGAAACATACAATAAAATTGTCATCTTTAGTTAATCAATCCCCTCTTTTAACAGGTTTTCTGCTTTACTAACCTGGTACAATGAAAATGGCAAGCCAGAGAGCAAATGCAAAAAATCAAACACTGGCTTCTGAGTACATTTCTCCGATCTTACATGCCCCACAAACATTCTATCTTCACCCCCAAGCCAAATGTAGGATGTCAAGGATGTTCCAATACTTGAGGCTCAGAAGTCGTCAACATCTTTTCCTCTGCTATTTGAGAAAATTCAGGAGTACTGTATAGCCAATCTTGAACAATACACCCTGGGACTGGTAGTTGTATGGGCTCTAAACGCTCAAGATGCTCATCAGTTAATTCAAGTCTTTGAGCAACCTTCTGACAAAATTCAATCGGATTTTTTGGAATAAACTGCTTTCCTTCCATAAATTTCTCATGATTAGCTAAAAAGGTTCAACACAAAATTTTCCAATCTATTTCTAAATTTGTAATTAAAATTTTCTTGTACACTTACTGTCTCTTAAACCCCCAAAAAGATATTTCAGATTTTCACAAATCTTACGGCATTTTGACATGCCTCCAGTGTTCAAAGCCAATACAGCAGCACGTTTTAATCCATAAGTACTTGCACCTGCAGAGCTTTTGATCACTTTAAAAATTGACCTCAGAGGTCCTGGCGATATTAAATTTGAGGCACTTGTAGAGGCAGAAGACAATGATGACAATGGCTGACAAACTCCCGGGACCTTATGTTCCTTGAAAAAACGAGTCATCATATGCTCCAGCTTTCCTACTTAAATTGTAACTCTCCCAGACCCCTCTCCCAACTGGAGTATCCAAACATTCTCTGGCAAATGCAAGAAAAGTTTTAATACAAATTCCTCTGCCTTTCATTAAGATATAACTACCTTCATGAGAGAGTTTACATCCTTGCCCCTCCTCAAACCAAAGATCTTTCAATCCTTGCAACCTCAGAAGAGCAGAAGATAAATCCCCAGCGGTCCTTCTTTTAACGCATCCAAGAAATTCCAAGGCGCTCAAGTTGGCCTCCTTAGAAGCAAGAATTGCCATCTCCTTTTGCAAAGCAGCTATTATCTTTTTCTCCTCCAAATTGCTTCATTCTTCTTCAAGATCTTTTACTGCAGTCTTTAACGCCTCTAGTTTAACCTTTCTCTTGGCCATCTCCTTCTCAGTTTCACAAATTCCAGAGTCAATCCCTCGTTTTGCAATTAAAGATACCAACTTCTTCTTCACAACACTTGCCAAATCCATTAAGCTCTCCCATTCATTTGGATCAAGATTCTGGAAAACTTCAGCTCTTTCTTTCAAGTAGCCAGGAATCTTAATCTCAGTAACTTCTTTGGGAAATGGTTCCATCAGAACATCCTCCTCTTCTGAAAATTTATAATATTAAAGACTTTAGGTTTGAACTTTAAAAGAAAAGTTTAATTCTAAATCTAAATTCTCACCATGAACATCTCCCTGGGAGTTGGAGTTGTCAATAATTAACGCATTTGGGGCGTCTGAGTCATTGGTGTTATTATCTAGGTAATCATAGAGAATTACACAATCAAAACCATTTCCTCAAAGGAATCAAGAAAATCTCAATAGCCTCACCATGATCACTGACGTTTGGATCCATCTCACACAAAGAATACCTTTAAACCTTTCTCAGCAAAAACTTCAAAACACTCAACGCACTTAGAAAGGCTCGAATTGCTTTGGACCAATTGAATTCAAACTTGTGAATGAAACCTATGCAAGGAAGAAATCAAACACACCTCTGAAATACAATGGAATTAATCAAACATGCAAATTTCAATCTAGCAAAATCAATCTTGTGTGGCCAAGCTGATCAACCTATTCAAACGTTTACAATATTGTCCAAAATAGGACTAACTGTGAAAACTTTCAATGCCCTAGTGTGGGACCAATCAAGTGTATACGCAAACAGAAACCTTTCAATGCCCAAGTTGTGGGACCAATCTACATCATATTTATCAATGGAAGAAAACGGAAGCGCTCAACCACTACAACTGGAATCATCATCTATCACCACTTCAAGAAGTATTCATATGAGCCGGGCCAGCTCTTTTTACCTTTTCCTTTTACCTAGTTATATACTGATGCATAAAAAGTTCAAAACGACAAATTTCTTCACTGATGGACTCCTTCTAAGCAGGCATACACACAACAACTGGGTTGCATGAAGATGGACACTATACTGACTAACACCAGTTGAAACCAAACGAATATACCCAACAAAATCTGGTATGGCAAGAAGAAACGAGGCAAGGGATGACTACTGCACATGTCAGCCCTTGACACGCCCCAACAGCTGCACCGGAATTGCTCAATTGGGAACTTTATGACACCCAAATCATACAAAGACAGCATCCCTCACTAACTCCACGCACCCCTGCACAGCAGAAGAAGCCGAGTCAAGCATGACGACTATTTAACACACCAGGATTCAACTTTCCATCTACAGCTGCACCGGAATTACTTTACTCAAGAATTTACAACACTGTTTTTGCAAAAATGTTGAATTTTACGAGCCAGGACGTTGCCAAATGTTTTGTAATTTCCTTCAAAACTTCTCTTCTTTTATACTATTGTAACCCAGAAACTGATTTCCTTCTTTATTCTTTTTCCCCTCTCTTATTTGGGTTGAAATCTCTTCTACAAGGTTTTTGGTTCCTTGCAGCTGTTCCCTCTTGTTTTGGTTCCCCTCTTTTTGCGTTCGCAATATATATATCGGGAAATTGTTATACAATTTCCACCGATAACAGTATATATATTCATTAGTGTTCAAGGAACCCGCAGTTCCTCAATCTAGGCAAGTATCTCGCCCATATATTTTGTATTACCAGAAGGTATATATATATCTTCTGTGCTGTATATTTTCTCAGAATTAATCTAGAGTTGTTTGCGGTTATTTCTCAGAGAGACTTGCAATCGGTTTAGCAAGACTCTCTTCATATCTACGTATCTTGTATATTTTTGTGTGTTTGTAAAACTTGAATATTTTTTGACTTGTGAATATATTGAAGATATATTTTTTAATCGTATATTTTATTTACCTCGGTCTACAGACAACACTATCAATCAAAAGGAAAAGGTAAAGGACTAATCCTCAGGCAGACGCAACTTCCTTTTGTTTTCCCAAACCAAAAATGTTGCTTCTCTAAAACAAAAAGGGGGGGTTTGTCACAAATATTTCAATGACCATATTAAATTTGATATGCTAGCTTTGGAGAACCCGAATTCCCCAGCAAATTTTGTCTTTCATTCTATCTGCGTGGGAATCTTGGGAGACCTTGGTTCCCACAGATGTTCTGCAGCCTCCAAGGCTGGATTTTATTCCCAAGATCCTGTTGCCATTTTTTGTCCTTGAAGGACTGTTTTCTTGATTTCCAAACTCGACTATTTTATTACAGTCCAAATCAAACCTTCCTGTGAGAACATACTCCGAGATTTTGCAAATTTCTGTTGTGTTTGAATTATACCAACTTTAAAATAGGGTGTTTTGCACCCTGGTTGTGGCCCAACCAAATCTCTGTGTTTTATTTATCCAACTTCTTTTCTAAACTTCTCAATTTAACTCAAACCTTTCATTTGTCGGGATTTATTCCCAACACAGTGAGACCCCACATGTGGACACCTTGACCTGCAGAAAATTTGACATAGGGACACTTATTTTCCCATAAAAATTAATAAAAAAGGCCCAACATGAGGACACTGACTTGACATAGGGACATTATGTGATAAAATTGGAAATAAATTTCAGACAAAATACAAGAAACAGATATTTCCAACCCTANACATTGTGTGAAAAAATTGAAAATTAGATTCAGGCCAAATTAAGATACAAATATTTCCAACCATAAAATATATGTAAGAGTACTTCTTTGGAATTTCTCTCACCAATTTACCATCCATTTAGCTAATTTTAAAAATTACCTCCAGCAGAGAGGGACTTCCTTTCTCTTTTTCACTTGAATGGTATTTTTACAGAGAATGCCAACATTTCTATGTGCAGTACAGAGGTATCAGTATTCAATTACCCATATGTCCATATTGTGTTGAAATATATTGATTGAATCAGTTCAAATTGGGGGACAATTTTTATTTTCATGGAATTACGGTGAGTATTTTATCCATAAAACACCAATTAAAAAGTATACAAAGTATAAGCCTGAGGAAAAATGAGACTTGACTTGGGTACATTTCAACTCAGGGACACTGTTGATGCACCAATTATGTCTGCATCTTGGGGTCTCACTGTATATGAGTTCAATAGCTGCAATCCAGAATAATTATTTTTCTCTTGTTTTATTCAGTGCTGATGGTCATGGCAGAGGAAGTGGAGTGAGTGCTGTGCCGTCATTACCCCCAATCAATGGATCAGCAGTTGCTGGACGCAGATCAATTGATGACCAGCAATCAGGACCTCATTATGACGCCATGTGAGGATAATTACTGAGAAAATGGTCTATTTTATTTTTAAGTTCTCGGGAATGGGGGTTTAAAATTACCTGCTGGAGTTATTGGCTTGTGTGGTGCAATGCTCTTATTAGTTTGAAACGCTACGCTTTTTGCAAGAATTATTTTGCGAAAACACTGCTGCTTTGATTTGCTTGAAGAAACAGCAGTGGAGTGGATTTTTGGTTGGGTTGTGCTCAGTTTAGAAATCAGCTGACTGAATCCAAATTTCTTGCTTTATGGATTTGTATATAGGAAAATTTGAGGCTTACATAATTTTGCTGCATGCTTAAAAGGAGGAAATTAAAATTTCATATATTTTTCCCTGTGGAAGATACTTGATTCCATGTCAAGTACCAGAAGTATCACAATTAAGTTTTTTATTTCTGCCATTTAGGGTTTTTATCATAGCTTTATGAATACAGTACAGTACTTGACACATCTCTTCTAGTGCACTGCTGATAGAGTGTACATACAGTGAGACCGCAAGATGCAGATGTAATTGGTGCATCAAGAGTGTTCCTAAGTCAAAATGTCCCTAAGTTGAGTTTCATTTCCCTCAGGTGTATGTTGTACAATTTTTAATGGGTGTTTAATGGAAAAAATACTCACCATAATTCCATGAAAATAAAAATGGTTTCCCAATTGAAGCTGATTGAATCAATATCTTTCAAAACAATATGGACATTTGGAGCATTGATTACCATTACCTCTGTACAGGACATAGAAATGTTGGCATTCTCTGTAAAAATAGCATTCATCAGGTGAAAAAGAGTGAAGGAAGTTTCTTCATGCTGGAGGTAATTTTTTCAATTTAGCTAAATGGATGGTAAATTTATGAGAGAAATTCCAAAGAAGTACTCTTACATATATTTTATGGTTGGAAATATTTGTATCTTAATTTGGCCTGAATCTAATTTTCAATTTTTTCACACAATGTCCATATGTTGAGTCAGTGTTTGAATGTTGGGCCTTTTTTATTAATTTTTTTGGGGAAATACGGTAAGTGTACTTGTGTGGAATTGTCCACATGTTGAGGTGTCTGCATGTTGGGGTCTCACTGTATTTACTTAAAAAAGTCAAACTTTGAAGAACATTTTGTGAAAATCAGAAATTCCTGCCTAACCCTTTTTGTTCTTTCCTCTTCTGTTCTGGCAACTGTGGCATATAATCTATTCCAAAAATTGTAAACAGAAAATCGCATATTCTGAATTGTTGATGACATTGTTTTTGAGGCCTTGAATTTGGGCTGCTTTGAAGAAAGATTTAATTTTTTGCTCTTACGAAAAATCCGCTCAAAAAACGATATCAGACACAGCAGGCGGTCTTCGATCAACCTCGATGCTCCACGCACATTGGATTCATCACAGCCGATCTATGGAATTTCCACTGGAACCGAGAGGTATCACATCCATGTTTTAAATGTATTCAAATCTTGACAAAGTTGCCTGTAATATTGTAACATGTCGTATATATTCGGAAAGCACAACAATTGAAAAAGACGTGGATACATAAAGAAAATAAGGGACGAATTCAAAAAATCGAGATACCCTTTGGGTGCCTTTTTAGGAATTTTTGAATGTTTCTATGATGGTCTAATCTCGTTGATCGATTAGGTTGAAATCAGACTATTTATGGGAAATTGGTCAGCGAGATTGTATTAAATACTCGAACTTCTTTTTTTTTCCGCGTGCCAATAATCAGCAACAGACAGATTTTTTTTTAATATAATTAGCCCCTTTTTGCTCAGGTCGATGTTCCGTGAAATCATTTCTTGAAAAGTTTATAAATTTAATTTCCTAAACTTTTTGGATTGGATTTTACACCTCAAAAAAACGAATACTGGCGAATAATGTCTTTGATGAACACTGGACGGTTGATATGAGGAGCAATGAGAAAAAGGTGAAATTATTTTAGAATATGATGCTTTTCACGGAATCAAACACAGTACATTGCTGTATTTTAAAAATGTAATGTATTTAGTACAACTTTGTGTTCTTCAGTTAGTACTGAACGTTTTTTTTTTTTACAGCTTTTTTTTTAGCACAGCATGTTGAAAATATTCAATACCCGCATATTCATCACGATATATACACTATATACAGTTGAACCTCTCTGTAAGTCAAAGTTCTAGGGACAAGAAAAAAATCAACTTTGGGAGGTTTTAATTTTTTGAGGTTTCCATCAGTTAAGCAAACAAACACTTTTATTGTGAGGAGAAGTGGAATAAGTGTGGGATTCTTTCATTTCCTTTCAAGATGCATCAAATCATTTGTTTTAATGATTTCCTCTTTCATATTTCAAGGAAATGATAACCAAAAGGCCTCAGAAAATTCAACTCACATCAGAGGTTTCATAGAAAAAGATTTTGACTTAGGGTGGTTTTTACAGATTCATTCTAACAGAATTCAGACAGACTTTTAAAAAGTTTGATTCAGGGAAGAATATGACTTAGGGAGGTTTGACTTATTGAGGTTCACGTGTATATTGAAAATTTAATTTTGGCAAGAAAGTTCACCAAACTGCAATAATTTGGCATACATTCTGGAAACTGTAGTCCATAGTTTTCTTGTTAGGAGAATCAAGAACCACTTTGACTTTTTGATAACCGCAGGCAAATTTGCATCTTGCTAATTTGTTTAGGTTTTTTTCAAAAATCCAAGGCATTTTTGCATGAGTGTGCAAATAAGATCTCAAAAATAAAAATTGACTCTCCCTGGACAATGCCAAGATCCATGATTTAAAAAATCCCTTGTGAAGTATTCCAACAATTGCACTAAAAATGTCTTCCATGCATTATAGGCCTTTGAATTTCTTGTACAAAAATGGTATAGGTTTTGACACATTGTGAGAAGAACTTTGGAGCCCAACTTTGACTTCCATTTGATCAATATAAAAGTGGTCTTGTCTGTCAGGAATTATTCCCTGGCAAGAAAAAAGCGGTGAGAAATTTTGATAAGAAATCAAATACCTAATCAGCCAGGGCAAAGCCCTAGATTGAAGTTGATATATTTCTTGATTAAATCACAAGTATTTCAGAGAAGTTTTCTGAGCAAAAAAAAAACAATCAGTCAAAACCAGATCACACAACAAATGCAATTCAGAGTTCAGCAAGCACTTGCAAGGTCTGCTCAGGTCAAAGTTTGGAGATCAAATGATCATAAGTGGTCAGAGTTGAGAGTTGACCAAGAAGAGTATTTCAATGAAAAAAGAAAGTAAATGTCCTTTTGGACTTTCAGAGATTTCCTGAAATAGTCCCTGAAGGGCAGCACATTGCTTGGTGAAAACCATGGGAACTTGAGGTCAACTCTGGTCCCACAAGATTCCTGAGCAGATTAGCTTTAACTTTGCTCATTCCTGAAACTGGTGTTTCTAAACAGGCCCTTATTTTATTTTTGACTTTGTCTTCAGATGTCATGAGGTAATGTACAAAATGTTGAAAACCCACAAGGGTTTAAATTCCTCTGATGTCCCTTTTCAATAATTTTCTGGATGCCTGTTGATTGTCACAGCATTTTTCAAGGCATGACTGCACATTTTATGCATGTATATGCATTGAAGGTGATCAACTGTATGATTATGTGCCTTTTCTTGGGTTCAATGATTTAACATGCTCTAAGTCTATGTGAGTCTTGAATGAAATCTTGATTGAACAATTGATGTTTTGAAATCTTGATTGAACCTTGTGAACGCTGAAAAGCGGCAAATAAAGTTTTCTGTTCATTCATTCATTGAATGAAGGAAAAGATCAAGAAGCTTTGATGCCAGGATCAGCAACAGCGGAAGGCAGTACCAGTATGGCAACCCTGGTCTACCCGCAGGAAACAAGCAGCAGCTCAGACAACCAGGTGGCGCTACAGGTACTGTGCAGCATTCTGCGTCTCAATATACAGTACAATATTACAATATTTTGGCTGGAGTCTTTCACGCTTTTTTATTTGTATGAATAACTTGGAGTTATTTCGCAGTTGCTCGTTTGCGAAAGCATTCTAATCCGGAAACTGAGTTGTGTGAGCATGGCTTTAAATGCTATCCTGCTATTCAGGTAACTTGCTTCTTTTACACGACCTTTTTTTTTTACAAATGTTTTGATTGGGTGTCTTGAATATTAGCGTTCACCACATTGCACATTTTGGCATGCTTTACAAATTCTATCCGGGGTAATGACGACACAAATGGTTCTTGATAAGGTTGGTTGGTCAAGCTTGTTATTGGGAGCAATAAAAATTTGATTACAATGTTTTATTTTTTAACTGGATTTGATAATGTAGATTATGCAAAATTTTGATGAAAAGAATTACAGTGAGACCCCCACATGCAGACATCTGGTCGAGAAGAATTTATCAACAAATAAAGGTTATCAAGTTTTGAGTTTAGATGTTTAAAAAATGAAACACAAGAATTTGGTCAGGCTGTGACCGGGGTGAGAAATCACCCTATTTTAAGGTTGGTGTAATTCAATTGAAATGTGTAAGTCTGAACAACGAGGATTTTGCGCAAATCCCTAAGAAACAACCCACACAAATGTTTGAGTTGGAATGAATGATTTTTGCCAATTTAGGAAAACAGGAAAACAGTCCTTCAAGGACAAAAAACAGCAACATGATTTTAGCAATAAAATACAGCCTTGAAGGCCCAGCAGAAATGAATGTGAGAACCAAGTTCTTCCAAGATTCTCACAGAGATGAAATGAAAGAGGATTTTTACTGAGACTTTGGGTTCTCTGATGTTGCTGAGACTAATTTAATACTGCAGTTGAAATTTTGCAACCCATCTTAACATGCAGACAATTTGACAAAGGTGCATTTATTTTTCAATGAAACAGGTGTAAAACATGCCCAACATGCAGAATGTGGCAGAAAAATCAGATCACCAATTGTATAATGTGTTTCAAATTATCTAGAATGCTCTGGAATAATTTAATTGTACTGCCATTGGATGGCAGTCTAAATGATGGGTTTTGTTTCCTGAATCAGTCCTCTTCTTGCCTCCTTTTGTAATCCTCAACTACACAGACACTGACTCAACATTGCATGATAAAATTGACAATCATTTAAGGAAAACGTAACTTTCATTGGGCTGCATTGTAAGAAACAAATATTTCCAACCCAAAGATCTATGCAAGAAAATTTCTTTGGTATTTCTCTCATCATTTTCCCATCCACTCAGCTAATTTGAAAAAATTAGCCATAGCATACAGGGACTTTCTCCTCTCTTTGTGACGTCTTGAATGCTACATTTACTGATCCAAACATTTCAATGCACTGTACTGTACTAAGGTACATTATTCACTGAATCAAATTCGATCAAGTGGAACAAAATTTTTTCATGGAATTCTGAAGAACATTTCTTCTATAAGACAACAAACAAAAATTATATAAGGTATGTCTATTGGAAAACAAGACTCAACTTAGGGACATTTTGACTCAAGGACACAGTTGATGCTTCAATATAAGTAGGTTGGCATCTGGGGGTCTCACTGTATATGCGTAAATATGCCGTTGAAGCTTTGGAATTATGATATGTTTCAAATCAAACCTTTTTGAGAATGTTAATCTCCCATAAAAATAATTTTCCCACAAAAATACAGCGACAGAAATTTGCATGGTGCTCATAATTGAGTCTAATTGAAATTTTAAAAATTGAGCTGATGAAAAATCAAGCTAGAAATTGCTCTGAATCTATTTCATCTTTTTTCAAAAAATTATTTACATGATAAACTGCAATGATAATAAGTTAACAGGTGTAGGGACTGAAAAAATGGTGGAAAGGGGAGGATTGGGTCATATATTGTGAGTAAATTTTTTCTTTAAACTATAGTCATTTAAACTGAGAATTTCTCTTATTTAGATATTTCTTCATCTGGGAATTTCTTTGAAGTGTTTTTGTTTGCATGAGCATGTATACTGTGCAGACAACCCTCAATTTAGTGCCCCCAAATTAGACCTGAACAAATCTCCCTCCAATGTGTTTGTAAGGGAAATTCAGATTTAGTGCCACAAAAAATTACTTGCCCCAGCTGAAGAATGGGAAGAAACCAAGGGAATTTCGAATTTTCCTTAGATTTCTAATGTATTTCTATTGAGGATTATACCGGTAAGTAGATAATATTTATGCCAGAATATTTCAAGAACTTAAATTTTGCAGAAACCTTTTTTGGCAAAAGTTCTGTGAGTAAAACAAAAACTTTTCAGAACCATTTTTCATTCTGTCATTATTGCCTCTACCATAAGAATGAAACTTGTTGATGGAAGGTATCATTGTTCCTTCCATTTTTGGACACCATAGCTGTATTTGTAGGTTTGCTTCAAAGTTCCAAATTAATACTGCAAAAAACTAAGCTAATGCTGAATGCAATTTATTTTTTCACATGCCTTGCTGAACCTGCATGAAGTTGAGGCATGTTGACTGTATATCCTATACAGTGAGGACTGTGCACATTTACTCATGGAATATTTATTGAGCCTCTTCTTGCACAGATCTTAGGTTGGAAACATCTGTTTCTTGCAATTAAGCCTTATAAAAATCAATTTTCCTAAAATTTATTTTGGAATTTTATCCTGCGATGTCCTCAGGTTGAGTCAGTGTCCTCATGTTGGGTCTTTTTATGATTTTTTAGTTAAAAAATAAATGTCCCCAAGTCAAATCTTCCCCATGTCAAGGCATCTGCATGTGGGGGTCTCACTGTATATCAAAACACAAGATTGGTAAATTTCACAAGACTGAAGATAACAATCAGCGTGATTTGAGCAATTTTCCCCAAGATTACCAATTAATTTTCAAAAGAAATGGTTGCTAACTTATGAAGATGTCTTTCATGCCTGCAACCCCCAGCCATGTCAAAGAATACCTGCAAAGGATCTCCAGACTTCACCTGTGAGTTTTTCTTGTTGTTGAATACAATAGTTCAGCATTCATTGATTGTACAGGCAAATTCTTGAAGTTTTCTCTTTATAACTTCCAAGAAGTGCCACACAAAGACAGATGAAAGGTTTGGTGCCTTTGGTTTGGTGAGATGTCATTGCAGATGAGCATTTGTAAGTTCAAGACCCTTCAGGTTATTTACAGATATCCCATCCATCCAGAAAAAAAAAATCAAACATGCAGGGGTACCACTTAAACAAAGACCATTTCTCAATCTGAGCTTGAAAAAGTGCTGAGAAGGGCGCTTGATTATATTTTCATACACTAATTAAGAAGACTGCCCATTCCAGGATAGAATAAGATGCCTAATATGGAAGAAATGATGCAAATCCCACTAGATACCAGAAAATACAGTGATGTCAGAATATAAGACTGGGCTGATTCCATTTTCACCAAAATTCAATCAGCCTTTTATAGTTTTCTGTGCATCCCCTAGGGGAAAAAATTATCAGACACCATTTCGATGCAAATCTTTTCCATTTCTTCCTCTTGAACCAACCACATTCCAATAATATAATGACGTCAGTTTATACAAATGGAGATCCGGTGAAATCAGGCGTCAATAACAGGTAAGGCATAGTAGTAATAGTCCACAGTGGGAAGTTTAAGGGGTTTCAGCTGCTGAAATCTTTGATGACAGCTCTATACATTAGAGAAACTCATCTTTCATCATCCATGGGGATGTGAATTGAGTTTGTCTGGAAAAATTCGCCAGTCAGCAGGTTCACACAACAAGCAATTTACATGATTCAAAAATCCAATGCGAAAACTGGGTTCAGTATTGGAGGGAAAATCCAAAGTTGCTCTTCATGCGTTCCAGGAAACTCTTCTTTTTCACGTCCTTGTCTCCTGTGGAAGTATAAAAACGGAAATTTAAATATTTTAGAACCGCTCCGTCTGATGTATGCAATAAGTGCTTATTTATTGAACAACCGCGAAGTTCTCTTCAGAAGGATATAGAAGAAAATTGAGTTTTGAGGTAATTGCGCTCATGTAGCAGTACACTGTACTTCGGGGGGGGGGGGTTTGTTTTTTGGGCGACATCTATTGTGTGCTTTCATGTGTTACGCAAACATTGATTCCCCCCGCTCAAAACATTCAATCCACTGCAGTCGCTCACGGAATTCCTTCCAGTTTAGCACGAAACAAAACGTTCATTTAATTTAAATTATAAGTCTGATTATTTTCTTGAGAACCATGCATGTCAATGGAAATAAATAGTTGCGAGGAAATTCGGTACACACGCCGCAACAATATATTACAGGATGCTGAACTCTGGGTAATCCACGCAAAAGTACATTAGTTACATACAGTTAGACCCCAAGATGGGGACGTAATTGGTGCATCAAGAGTGTCCCCAAGTCAAAATGTCCCTAAGGTGAATCTTGTTTTCCCATAGACTTACATTATATAATTTTTAATTGGTATTTTATGGAAGAAATATTCTTCAGAATTCCATGAAAAAAATTGTCTGCCACTTGAATTTGAATTTGATAATACATTTTCAACTCAATGAGAACATTTTGAGCATTGATTAGTGTATCTCTGTACTGTACACTGAAATTTTGGCATCTACAAAAATAACATTCAAGTGAAAAGAAAAGTAGAAGTCCCTCTATGCTAGAGGTAATTTTTTAAATTTGCTAAATGAATGGTAATTTGGTGAGAGAAATGTCCAAGAATTCTCACACCACTTTTAGGGTTGGAAATATCTGTTTCTTGTAATTTGGCCTGAAATGTATTTGTAAAACAAGATTCAACTTGGGGACAATCCAACATAGGGACACTCTTGATGCACCAATTATGTCCGCATCTGGGGGTCTCACTGTATTGGCTCTCTTCTGAATAAGAAATGTGTGAAATTATCTGCCATTATTGAATCTTTAAAATGCTTTAGAGTAACTGAAATTGCATACAGCTTCTTTATAAGGTAAA